AAAAGTGTAAAAAGGAAGGAAGATCAATACCAAAAGAGCTTGTAAAAACGCGCCACAACGGGCAAATCTAGGTAACCGAATGAAAGAGCAACCCCGTGTCTGTCGGGAAGAGCAGTCAACCACGGACGTGGTCGATGCCGACGCCCCCAGTAGAGAAGACGGTATGAGCTGAAAACACTCAGGAGTTCGAGCAGCTTTCCTTGCCTTTTAACCAAACCATCGATCGGCCACCATGGGTTTCCATAACGCCACGCGAGGTATCGGTAACCAATGGACTCTGAAATCGCCGGACAGCAGACAGCATCAAGAAAACGTAGGCGGTTAGAATTCAACACAAAGTCCAATAATGAATGGTGAAAATAGAGAGCTAGTAGACATACTTTTGGGTTGCACCATCGCAGTTAGTTAGGGCATGTGCGCAGAATCACGTCACTGATACCTGCGTGTTTGCAGCATATTACAGCTGCGTCATATGCTATTCGCGTGTGATGCGCTCCCTGAACCTGAAATTAGCAGAATGGGTGTCTGGGAAAACCTTGATTTCCGAGACTGATTTCGTCTTGACTAATTTCTTTGGCAAACCGTTCCAGCACTTCACCACTCGACGCTGAAAGCATAATGAGCTATCCGCTTTAGGTTCGGTAGGACTAGCTTATACCGGTGCCCGCGAGTGCTGCTTGGTACGTGCACGTGAAACAGCGATTTTAACATGGGAAAGTGACCGAGATGCAATATCCGGTACGTCATAATGAGATCAACTCTAAACCAACGACACGACAGGGTGTACAGCCCTAGTCGTCTACATACTCCGTAAACTGAAGAAGAGCCCGGTAGCTGAACACGTTCCAGTCTTTGAATTTCGCCACGGGTGATCGGACAAAAGTCGGGTGATGCGTATCGAGCAGCAGTCTTGTGGTGGGTAGTACTTTTCGGACCAAGCGCAGAAGCTGCATCTGACCGCCCAAAGAAGGCGCAGTCCGTTCCATAGCCTGTTCGTGTTGTCTGCGGCGGTTAGCCGGCCAGTGTGTACGTACGCTCATCAACACCCTTCTCCAGGCACATATGTAACGAGTTGACTGGGTCGACCGGCAGATCGACCTTTGCAGATCACATGGACAAACGGTCGAGGTCATGCTGAAGTACGTCACAGTTGTAAGGAGTATATTGAAACCTTCAGGTTGTCTGCAAATATGACACAAGGTGACCGAAGAAGCTGAGGCACTTCGTTCATGGGGATCAGCAATAAAATATGCCCCAGTACTGTACGCTGGGGTACCCCACTGGTGGAGGATACCACAGTCTGTTAGATGGTCACCCACCAGTGCCCTGCATTTTCGTCTAATGTGAAAGTCTCTGATCCCCACTTGTGCAGAGTGAGCCACCAACAATGCCCATTACAGGCGTGTTGAGGAGGAACTCATGGTTCAGTTTGTCGAACGCTTTACTGAAATCATCAATGTAGACCACATCTATAGAGTTCCCCTCTGGTTCAACGCTTGTGACCATTCGTGCCGTGTCAACAGCAAGTTGGTGCTACGGGAATGGCCTTTAAAGAAAGTGTGTTATGCAGTAATCAAGTTGTTCGACTTTAGCAGCTGGAGTTAACACTTTTTCACGGTCTTCTCGAGTACTTTGTCTAAAACGGAGGTCAGACAAATCGACCGATAGTTGTACACCTTACTTAGGTGACCGGACTTCGGAATCGCTTTCACTACAGAGCAATTCTAGGCACTCGCCAAAGCACCTTCGGATAGTGATTTGTTGAACAGACCAGTTGTGGAGGACGATATGATGGCCGACAGTGACTTGAGAATCAGCGGGTGGAGGCCATTCGGATCGGCAGGCTTCGTGCCGTCAAAACACGCAAGTAGAGTGCGAAAAGCTTCCACATCGGAATCCAGGTTCTCAAGTTCCGTAGAGGTTGCGTACATCAAGGTTGGTATAGACGCAGGCCCGCATGCAAATGCAGAAGCGAAGTGTGTCACCAATGCGGACGCAGGTTAAGCACTTGAAGTTAGACACTGTTCGTACAATGTGACATCAGAAAGCCCATCGCTAAACCGCATTATTACTCCTCAGATATCGGTCACTGACTTTAGCGGTGCCGGTTAAAAAAACCAGTCCATTTAAACCGTGTAGTATATCCATTTAGACATTAGAAGGCATTTACATTTATGAGAAAAGATTAAGCAAACGGGGAAGCTAACTAGAGATCGGGTGATAGTGATTAGATGACAATTCAAATTAAGGTCAGTGAAACAAATCGAGAGTTATGTCAATAAAGTCAGGTGGTAGAAGTTACGACACCATGTTTCGAGTATACAAACGGACAAACGGCGAAAGTAAGAACCCAGAGGCTGACGAGAAACAAAACGCACAGTTTGACCGGGGTTTCTGTCAGATACGGACAGAATCTTGGTCAGAGCTAGGGCAAACTGAGAGTTGCAGTAGCGTACTTCGCTTGCATAACTCAGGTTGTAATAGCCTTATCTCCATAGCTTCGTCAATGGCCAGCATCCGTTTTCTGAGTCCTTTGGGAACGTGCTTCGACACAGTGTAGACGACCTTGAATCCGTCTTCTGTCCGAGTCTGATGCCCAGTAGTAATCAGATGCTCGAGAATAGCGCTGTTGACATTCCCAATCGTGCCATGTTGTAGAGAGGCAGGACAGTGTTCCGCTATCCTCTTAACAAGACGTCGGTTCGTGTACCTGAGGTATCTTACACCACAGGTGCAGGTGAATTGATATGACTCACATGAATTGGCGAAAGCCAGGATACTGTTTTTGAGGCTTTTGATGATGATCAGAACTGTCGTCAAGGATGTGTATTCTAGCAGCCGGTTATGTTTGGCTGATTGCAGTCGACAGTTATCCGTTCAGTAACTTGTAGGGGATGTACTTTTTAAAAGGAACCGAAAGGAGAACGTCATTGTTCTTTACAGTTGGTATCGTTTTAGGGTGATCACAGCTGGCAGAATGTCTTTTAATAAACGAAGTGAGATACCCATGGGCTTGTAGTGTCGTGTGAATGAAATCCTTCTGAGCGTCTAACGTTTCTGGGCTGCAAATTATTTCAGCGCGATAGTACAAAAGGTGCAAGGTGTATCTCATTGGCATATAACTGAGAAAGTGCGTATACTGGCCAACTCATATCGTCATCCGAAAGACTGTTCTGTCAAGCGACCCATCAGCTCGCCGCCATGATGACACATCCAGAAACGGAATTTCCCTATCTTTTTCTACTTCACAAGTGCATTTTAACGATGAATGCGCAGTGTTAAACTGGTCAAATATCTGCAGGTTGTCAATTTGGGAGTCGCACACCATGAATGTATCGTCCAAGTACCGCCAATAGTAATGAGGAGAAAAGGCTCCGGAATGGACCGCACTCAATTTTCGCGAGAAAGAAATTGACAAGGAGTGGTCCTAAAGGGGAATCTATTGCAACTCCATCAATTTGCAGGAAATCCCTTCCGTAGAACAAGAATTGTTAGTCGAACGTACAGCGCAAGATAAAAATATCAATACCAATAGCAACCCTGTTTTCGGCTAGGCACTCCAATTGAAGTTGACAAGCTCTAGCAATGGTACGCTCATGCAGTAAGATCGGTAGCAAGGTAGCATTATTGCACATCCCATTTTCGATCGACGTGTTGGTATCGCGTATGTTCCATAAGATCGGAAGCTTACAAAAGTCACACAGGCTTTGTCAATGAGCACAGTGACAATTTTGTTGCTTTGACCAGCAGAGGTGATAGCTATGTAGATAAATGAAAAGAGCAAAGGCTCTTACTGGCATTCGGCGGTAGCGAAACCAAGCGATGCATCGGCTCAATTCTTTAACAACAAGTAACACCAAGGCGCAACGTACTGCGTAAGCATAGTTAGCGACATCTTCAAAGTTGCTTGGTGTAATCCAAAGTGAGCTGAATCCTTCGAATAATTCAGGTCCTCCAATAGCTAACTGGGTGGATTGCAGTTCTGGAACAACCAGCCAAGACAGATTCACTCAAGAACTTACCACACAAAAGAAGGGACAAAGAAGTAGGGTAGTTCTGATGCAGTGCGCTTATCTTGAGAAACCTAAAGGAGAAACTGCAGATGACACCTACACAACAGTCATCATTGCAACCAGAATGAACCTGACCTTCTTCAAACAAGTAGGGATTTCTCGGCCGAGAGTAGAAAGAAGGTTCAGTGGATGCAATGTCAGTTTCCGAAACGGACCAACGAGATGAATTTTCAGGAAGCAACGGATGGAGCACCTTAACACCGTTTCTAGACCAGAAGTGGCTTCTTTCAACATCCAATTTTCGTGCGTACAGACGTGGACCGAATGTTACCTAAGTCGGAGCAGTAAAAGTAAAATCTATTGGAATGTATATTTGAAAACTGCATACCATTCATTAAACTGACCGGTTTCATTCCCTTTTCAACCAGCCCGTGGCCTAAAGGATTAGACATCTGCCTTGTTATCCGGAGGACGCGGATTCGAGACTGTGTAGAGGACCGGACGACCGTTACAGTACCATTAGCCCATGCGAGACTGATGGTGGTTGTGTCGCAGGGAAGCATCGGTACTGCGTACCACCACTGCACTGTTGACGCCTTTTTTCTCCAAATAGATTGACTGGGCTCGATAATCGAGATCATTTTCCGCGATGAAATTTTTAGAACACTCGTAAGCGAAAGTACGAACTAAGCCCGTGCAGTGGTAACGTGTGTCACAAATAGTTGCGTTAAGTATCTGGAGCTGAAGCCTCGCGTTTGAAAAACTGAGATACGGAAGCAAAACTTCCCACCGAATGATGACCGAGAATATCAAAGTGGAAGGGGTACCCGGAGCGATTTTGATGAATCGACGAAGTAACCTCCAATGTGCAAACAGTTAGTGTTAAGATGAAGAGATATTCGTGATGGAAAATACGCGGGACGGTATCCAGTCTCTCTACTCTCGCTCCAAAACGGAACCCAACAAAATGACACTGAACTAACTCACCCAAATGTCCGCTTTGGTACCCACATATGGTTCCCCATTGAAAATCTCAGGGGCTGCATATGGAGGACTTCCACACCAAGTGGTCAGGAGTGCCCCGGAGTATTGGGTACCGAAACTAAAGTCTACAAGTGAAGAATAAGGAAGTGGATGAGGGTGAAGCGTGAGACGTGTTTGAATCGCAAAGTGATCAGGGATGTAAACATTCAGCAAACATGGCTTCGCTGTCACTAAAAAATTAACCCATAGAACTACACCGAGTGCTACTGCAGAACAAGTGGAAAAGTCAGATGGATACGGAAACCGAATGCGCATAAACTCAGCTGATATCGTAGGCAACTGAAGTGAAATCAAAACAGTTTTACGCACCAGAAACGGCTCATTTTCAGCATTCACCTTATCGCTGCGGATGAATCGAAAGATGATACCGGGGAAAAACAGCAGTGAGGTATAAAACGAAGCATGCACGTAATCACCATCCTGATGGCCGCTCCAGCAGCATCCTTATGACTTTCATTGGGTCTACAACTAAACAGGACGGATAAAGTGAACCGGTTACAATACGACCAAGTGCGAGAAGATACAACTTTAAATGTTGAATGTGTCGAAAAAAGACAGTGTCTCCAAAGGGTCATTAATCCGTGCGTGAAGAATCTCATCTAAGACCTCGGAAGAATACTGCGTATCAATAATATGTCCCGTAAAGATCAAGCCAATGAGGAAGTCACTAGATCAACCGCTGCATCGAGGAATGAGCTTAGTTGATCCCAACAACAAGATATAATCCTTTGAACCAGTCCAAGAATGGTGACGGGGGAGCAAGTCGGCCGTGGCCGTAAGGGTTACGTGATTGCCTTGTAATTCGGAGGTCATCAGTTCGAATCCATGTAAGATGCAGGCAACTTCGCGGCATATCCGGCCCACATCCAAACGGTGGTGGTTGCGTGGCACAGCTGACGTACTTATTCACTTGACGGGAAAGCAGTACAACCAACAGGGAAGAGCAAAAGACAAAGCCTACTGACTTTATGAAAGGTTTCGCAAGCACGCGCGGACCATGGTAAGTTAAGGCAAAGAGAGGCACGGAGAAGCTTGATTGTATACACAAGTAGGATGTTGTCGCTGCCTGTAAAAGAAATGGATCTATGGTAGACCGCAGCTTATCATCAAGAAGGAAAATATGCAAGGGTTCCGAGTAAAGGATCTAGATGAGAATTATCTCACCAATTCTTTTAATCCACGTTGAAGCAAGAAAGAGCGAGAGCCGTACACGTTGGGTATAATTACATCTAATAAATGCAACTGGTAAGTGAATTTCGACATATAAGGATGTGGGAAGATCACTTTCTGTAGAACGTAAAAGTCGGCAGACTGAATAAAGGATTTTATCACACCTCGACTCAGTCAGACAGCTATCACAAGCTACTGCCGTGCAACAAGTTAGTGGATATTGAGCGGCGCGATATCACATCTGCTAACTTAGTCATGACCGTTTCCCGTAGCTCAGTTATCCCAACCACAGACTGATTAGTAGGGGGAAGCAGAAACAAGATATATAGCTGTTCAACAGCATCTAAATTCCAGATATTTTGTATCGGCAAATTGTTTGTCGAGGAATCTTTTTAATTCCGACACCGACTTTGCTTCGACCACGTGCGGTGGCAAATTGTTCTATATAATCCCTACTCTCCGTTCGAAACAGAGTTGGTGAGCGACCCGCTTCAAATCCGATACTACAAGCTTGTACCGGTGTCTTCGTGAGATATTGAGTGGGCGCATACGGAGCAGCGGACACAACATGGGGTAATCACCAAAATGTAATATCCAATGCGTTATGATGAGGTCAACCCGCACTCGGCGATAACACAAGGTGTAAAGTCCTAGCCACTTGCACCTGTCTTCGTACGGCACACCGCGCTAAGTGAGGATGAGCCTGGCGGCCACATGTTGTACCAGCTCAATCCTTTGTACCTCGTCCGGGTGATAGCACAGTAAGCAGGTGAGCCGTATTCTAGCACTGGTGGGATGATTGAGAAGAAGAGACGAGTGGCGATCTCTTCGGATCAAGTGCTGAAGCAGCGCTTCAGCGCCCAAAACATACACAGTCGGTCTTGATAAAGCCTATTCGTGTTGGAAACGGACTTTCGGTGGCAGCGCGACAGTACACCGAGGTCTTTCACAAAAGACGTGGGATGTAACGGTTGACCGGTTACAGTGTAGTTTCAACAGGGTCCACCCTTACCAAGACTCCTGAATAGCGACTTGACCGAGTATATCGGGAGGTTGACCCCCACAGACCACATGAAGAGTCGGTCAAGGTCACGTTGAAGCAAGTTACATTCATCGGGCGTACTGACTCTCCACGCCTGCAAACAACACACAAAAGGAACGGAGAAGCTGGGGCAAATCGTTTATAGGGATAAGGAATAAAACGGCCCTGGTACAGTGCCGTGGGGCACGCAACTGGTGGAGGGACACCAGTTGGTTATTGATCTGGACCCTCTACTTTTGATCAACATGGAAGTTCCTGATCCATTGGTACAGCGAGCCACCAACACCAAACAAACTCAGTCTGTGTAGAAGGGCCTCGTGATTCACCTTGTCAAACACGACTGAAGTCAATGTAAATGACGTTAACCGACTTCCCATAATTCAGTGCTCGCAACCATTCGTGCCTCGTCCCGAGCAGATTAGTGATGTATGAGCGACCGCTCAGAAAATCATATTGTACAGGCGTCAAGAGGCTTTTCGACTTGAAAAACCGTAGAATACCCTACCTTTAGGATCTCAGCTTTTAACCAAAAGCAGCGGTCAAACAGATCGGCCGGTAGTTGTCCACATTACTCGGGTGACCGCCCTTCGGTATTGGCTTTACGACTAAGCATTTCCAGTCGCTCAGTAATAAACCTGTGGACAGCGACCCAGTGAACAGCCCAGTCACGGATAATGACTTAAGGATCATTGGGTGGATTCCATCAGGCCCGGCAGGCTTAGTTCCATAAAGACCGACCAGCAGCTTGAGTACATCTTCAATGCGGCGATTCAGGTTGTCAAGTTCGGTTGGGGTGGTAGCCCTCGAACTCGGTACAGACAACAGTAGATTTGTAAATACGGAAGTGAAGTGCGCCACCACTGCTGACACACGATTTGTGCTCGAGGTTAGGGACTGTCCATCTGAGCCCACAAACACTTGCACATTGCCCGCAGGCCCCAGAAGTCGCTTCACGTAGACGAAGATCCCCATGGGAGCCGCTTTGCGACGGCTAAAAGCAGCTTTTCGAAGTTTTAACACTTTTGGATTTTTGCGTTGTTGTAGAGATTTCGCTCTTTTGTACACTTCATAATTTTCGTCAGAATCAGAAAATAGGGATCTATTTCATAGTTTGTGTCGTCACCGAGCTAGGTTGCTATATTCCTAGTCGAACCAATGTGGCTTGACTGGTCCAAATCTACGATACCTGGGGGGCACAAATCGGGTGCAGAACGATAGCCCGAGTAAGGCCATTAGAGTCCACTTCCGAGTAGTTGAAAGCTGGTTTCAGCGGAGGACACGGTAGCGGCAGCTCCAAGCTGTCGTGTGGTCACTTAGTCCAACGGGCTCTAGAACCTGGATATCATGCATACTTTGCTCACAGCTAGCCCACAGCAGGTCTAAGCACGAAGGAGTCGAGCGCGTGGTTATGCGCGTCGGCTGGTTGATGTGCTGCGTGGGCCCAGTTTCAAATATATCATCTCCACGAACTTACCCGTGACTCCACAATGGTCGGGGAGATGTTCAACCTCAGGTCACTGTATTCCAGGAAAGTTGAAATCGCCCATGAGCAAGAACTGCGGACGACTCATATAGCTGCGGACATACGACAATCAGTTCAAGCAACGACTCAGTGGACTGCGATAGACCAACAAGTAGCTCGTTGCGTCCGAGATGAATCGAACACCATAACTGTTAACATAGACCAACGGCGATTTGGTAGGTGATCACGAGTCTCTTACACAAAGAAGGCCTTATGTAAAGGACCACGCCATTTAATGATCTATAACAGCGGAAGCAAGATTAGCCAATGATTTATACTTTGTGGGCGGTTACCGTATTTAACAATAATGTTTATGTTCCTTAATTCAAGACAAAAAATGCAATAGTTAAGAGGCACTTAGGTTTTAAGCCAAAATCTTTAAGGGGTAATTGATTGTAGTGAACTCTATTTGTGGGTACCAGCCTCAAAAAATTGTGAACCACTACTCTATGGGTACTGGAGCATCTCCGGTAGGCCACTGAAACGTCGGAGATCAAACCATTGGTGAAACGCTTATCGTAGAGATATGTAACGTGAAGGAACCTGTAGACCATTTTGAAATTTCTGATAAAAGAGTATCCGGACTACTGGCCTTGTTTGACTTTAGTTCTTTGAGTTCTCTGTGTAGATAGCGGTGATCGAACGGAGTAGTTAGACTTGACTTCATGAAGAAAAATAGGGAAGGCGTGCTTGATGAGGTGGAGCTAATCACCGCAGTGAGTTTGTCCGCTTTAACTGTACTACTCCGGTTGGGGAGACTTTCACCCTAGAGCTGCTCCAAATCCTCCATGGGCCACGGCATCGATGTACAAATTGGGTAGAGTCGCTGCACCTACTGAAGTCATTTCGGTAGCTATGACAAAAAGCTTTCTTGTAAGTAGACAGTTTCAAGGGGACAACGGAAGTCGAAGCAAGAATTAATGTAGATCAGAAGATCGTTACATTGAACAGATAGACCGTCGTTAAAAATGGAAAGATCAGTTAAGGAAAGCTTCAAATGGAGTCGCGTGATGGTGTCCGTGGCTTTGAAAGGTTTTTGCGTCAGCGTGAACAAATTGGCTCAATTGTATATAATAAGAAAACTGAGACGCAGCAGTCCTAGTTATATAAGAGCGTCTATGTAAGCATCTAGACGCGTCGCGTCCAGTCAACACTTCCTAAATCAAGTGACTTAATTAAGGCTGTACTCTTTTTATTGAAATCATCAGCAATAGTATACACAAAAACACCCAAGTTCCAGTAGCAACAACAAAGAAACGTTATCCGCAAGTATTCTCGACACAGACCAGAATGCATCAGGAGTTATGCAGACCTGACTGATGACGACCGATTGGAAGCCACTTAAGGGCTTTGGCCTGTGTTCGACTAAATGACAGCTCATGGAGATTGTCTAGTATGTGAACAGTATGGTTGGAGAATCGCACCAGAGTTGGTTAACCCGCTCCCCTAGGAGAATTAGACCCAATTGGACAGTAGCCAGCGAGTTGAGTAACTTCATATTACACGTCAGGATGAAATTAGCTTTGTTGCAGCCAAAGATATCGGCACATACATTTTCTCTTCGTTGCAAAAGGACCACAATCATACCGAGGGTTGCACATTGCTCAGTGTCAGCTTTGTCAACTGGGCAATGGTAACAATCCCGATGCCTGTAACTATCTCCAATACTTTCTTGGCAAGACGTTTCTGACTGTGACCACATTCAAGAAAACGCGAATTTTACGCATTATCAAGTTGCTTTACCAAGAGATTGAAAGAGTGGGATAACATTGACAACAGTTCCGTCAAACGTAATATAAAAATAGGTGAAACCGCTAGTAGATAGTGAAAGTATTCTAACGAGAAAAGAAACGATGGATTCAAGAGTCCCGCAGGCAAAACCGGAAGTATTAGGCGAGGCGCGGATTTTCGTAGATGGGAGGGGGCGAATACACTCGTTTGATCATTTGTGGATAACACCGGTAACATATGATGATGCGCTGAGTGCATATGAGATAAACAATCGAAATTAAAGTGTCGTAGTGCAGCATGCTGATGTTCCGGGATCGCCAAGAGTTAAGGTAAGTAAATAAAAGGATGAATAAGCCGAAGGTAGCGAAAGTAAATGGTGAGAGACGCCTTAGAGAAATGGTGCAATTACACAACTGAACCCATCGATTGTGAAAATTAGGACAGAGTTTCAACTACCGATGAAACCAATTTCATCGATTCACACACACACGTCGACGACGCATACAAAGGTAACAGTATTACAACAAGTCTATTCATCCTCTTCTGTCAAGCCACTGACTTTCCACTATCGAACCTCGTGCAATGGGAGGGTTATTGGTTAACACGTAACGCATGCGGCCAGCGTAATGTGCGCAGTGCCCATGTATTCAACTGTCCAATGGAGCGGCAACAAGCGCCATTGAAAAGAAAATGTAGGTCAGTAGCAGCATGCATCGCCGGAATACCCGAGGTCTAAGTGATGTGTCTCAGGCGCACAGTCAGCCAAAGGCAAGGGACTGTTTAGTCGTTCTGGATGTCAACGGTAGAGGTCACAATCAGCTGAGTAGCACCAGTCTCATTCACGCGATGCATGTGACCAAAAACAAGACGCAGGAAATGCCATGTGAGCAGTTATGTTACGAGAACCAGTGGCAGCAATGCGACCACCTAAGATAGAAATGGACCAAAAACGGGTGGCTGGGGATGAAACAGTTAGGTTTCGCAATGACACCTCGCACTGTGGAAAGAGAAAGTTTGTGGCAAAAGAGGAGGGGGACTTGTATCAAAGTATACGACGCCTATGGATGCCACATGGGACCATAAGGGGTTACTTCATGTGAAGGAACTAACTGCACCGCCCGATATGACTTCACTTCCTGTTGAAGCATATAGGAGAGTAATTTATGATATTTAGGTAACAGAAGTACATGGAAATGTGAAAAAGTACAGTCCCCACGTGACCGAAGGTATTGGACTGCCCAAGCAGACGATTTGTCGTCGGAGCGAAAGTAGGCACGGGTGTAGGAGCAAAGCGTACATGACGCTGTGGAAGCAACAGCGTGGACGCAAGTAATACAAAAATAGTTTCGCTACAAGCGAGCGCTGGAGTGTGTGCACGTATTACGGAAGGTAGAACTACTTTCTTGAACCCGCGATATTTGTGGCGTAAGAAAAGGGTTTCCATCGATTTGAAAGGCCGCGTATACAGAACCAAAGTGCGGGTGGATCTCTTCTACAGAAGTGGCACACGCACTCTATGGTCTGAGAATTTAAAACACCCTCAAGTCTTGGATCATATTTGTCTGTGTCAGATGGTACCAATGTGTCCACGACGAGAGACCATCAGGCTACTTTATTCGAGTAGAAATGTCACTGAATAGTTTGCGTGGGCCTGGACACATGATACGCATGCGGATCTACCGCCTAAAGAGGAGGGCTTTGTTTTGGTTACCGAATGCCGCATGGCGCAAGGCACGGAGGATGGAGGGCGAAAGTTTACGTCGTAGCTGGGAATATATTAGATGACGGCTAGACTGAGTGCTGTTGGTCTGTCTTGCCTGCAAAACTGGTCTATGCGACGTGTTTTGTCCTTGGCTCAAAACTCCACAGTATATGGCATGCAGTCGGTATCAGTGGCTCGTTTGCTGTCGTCTCTTGGTCGGACTACATACTTAATCTGATTCTGGTTCTGAATTATCTGCGGGGTAATGACCGTTTATGCCGCACAGCAGGGAAGACCGTTAGGAAGCTGTCTCGTCGATGCCGCTCTATCTGCGCATTTGACTGCATACGATTGACATGGCGTAGGGGCCTTGAATGTTTACTTGGGGCAATCGGGTGCTACATACACCCGCTGGCTGTAAATACGCTCGTTAATTTTCTCCATGTAGTGTAAGGACACTTGGTAGTGGTTAAACGGCTAGGTAGTGTCATTTAGTAAACTGCAAACAGTTCCACAAATAAGTTCGATGTCGACTGGTGCAAAATTGTGCAAAGTCGATTATATTCGTTGTCTTTAAAAAGCGAAGTGTTGCATCGTTTGGAATGGCACTTTAGTGGAATGGTGAAAGCAAAGCACTCAATGCGAGTTCGGAAGCCTGGGTAGTGAAGCAGTCATTTGCCGCAAGGTAGGGTAGAGTGATATGGTCAGTGACTATCTCAGACACAAATAGACAAAACTCTTTGCATGTTGAAGATCGTTTAGGGTATTAGACGTTCCGTCACATGATAATACTGACATGGCGATCAATACGGACAGATAGAATACATTAGGCGACAGACGTTTTAGTTCGCACGCTAACCAAAAGAGTAGGGAGTATGAGAACAAGGTTGAGCTTAGTTTAGGAAGTGCATAAACAGTCTGAAGCAAGATGCGGAGGAAATGTTGATCAAAGAGATAGACGCCACAAACGATCTAACGGTAAGCGAACACCTTATCAGAGTCTAGAGCAAGTGGAGTTGATGATGATAATTGACCAACAACTTCGTTAAGCATTGCGCTATGCTCCGTAACGGCGCCTTTGCTGAAATTTATTTTGATCACTAGCTCACCTTACGAGACCTCAGAGACGTGGTCATAAGGACCGAAGACTGTAGTCCTGTGATGCAAGGCGGTTCAAGGTAGACATTTACTATCGCGTTGGCTTTGCTTTTCGATATTTCTCATAATACTAAAAATCGATTTGCTCTGTTGAAATGACCGTGATTCAACAACTGAGAAATGGGGTGACAGGAAGCGCATTAGTGATTGCGTTGGAAGCAGATGTCCCAAATAGCAACGATAACAAATATTTTCATAACGTACCAATTAATTTGATCTTCATATTAGAGTCGAAAAGTAGATTCTCTGCCTTCAAGTCTCGGTGCACCACACCGCAGGAGTGTGCGTAGTCGATGGCGGACAACAGGTCGAAGAAATGGGAACGAGCCTTAGCTTCAGGGAAACGACCATGCGTGGTGATATAGTCTACGTACCGGACAAGAGAGGAGACGTGTAACATAAACAGCATCAACGCAAAAGCAAACAATGCTGGTATGATGAAAGAGCATCGACAACCAGCTGCAATTAAGACTGTTCCTGGAACTTAGATGAAGGTTGGGCATTAGATGCGCTAGGCTGCAGTTACGAAGGTATCGGAATAATTATGCTTTGCGAGTGATGTGGACATGGAAAAAGTGCCTCAATCTGCCGGCCTGTCGCTCAGCCAAAGCTGAAAAGGAGAAACTAAGGAAACTAGTCACTAAACATCAAAAAACCCCAAAGAGATTCGACACATTCTCTCTATCCTTATGTAACGACCCTCATGCATTACAAACTTGCTTGTGACGAGGCATGAGTGGTTTAATGCAATAAACAAGGGGGTCTGTGGACGTGATATTCATCGATTTTAGTGAAGCGTTCGACAAGGTCAGTCATGAGGTTCACCTTCACAAACTCAGAATGTGGCGTGCCGGTGGTTCGCTGCACCGGTGGATCCGCGACTTTCTTTTTGGAAGACAATGGAGGGTACAGGTCGAGGACCATTTAACTGACTGGTATCCCTCTACAAGTGGCGTGCTTCAAGGCATTGTGTAGAGGCGCAGTCTGTTCCTGATCCACATCAACGATCTACCTCAGTTCCTCCGGTCGCCGTGTGCAGATGACATGAAGATTTGGAGAGAAATCGACGCTCTCGACGACTGTTGCGTACTACAGCAAGACCTCAACAGCCTATCCACATGATCTGCAGAAGTTCATCGCCCGGTCAACCCAGCCAAGTCTGTATTTATGAGCCCGGGGAAAGGTGCTGACGGCCGGACCAACACCCTTGACTGCTAACCACTATATCCCACACCCACCGTGAAGGATCTAGGTATAATCTTGCGCTAAATTTGAAATCCGTGAACAACACGAACAGGCTATATCGTAATGGACTGCGCATGCTCTGGGCGCTCAAACGTTGCTTCGGCACATGCTCTGAAAAGGTTGCCACTCGCCTCTTATCTTCCACCATTAGACCAATGCTAGAGTACGGTTCGCTCACATACTTTCCGATCATCCGAGGCGAGGCACAAAAGATAGAACGGATCCAACACGTTGCTACCAGGCTCATCCTGAGTTCATGTGGCTTGAGATATGAAGATCGGTGCGAGAAACTAGGACTTTACAACTTGTCCTACCGTCGGGCGCGACTCGACCTCGTTATAAGCTACCGTATGCTACATCTCAGTGACTTCCCCATGCTAAGGCCAATACTGTATTTACGAGGGCCATGCAGCACACGCGGACACAGATACAATCTTGTCGTACCGGATATGAAGTGAGTTCCCCACCCACTGTGCTTCGAATGGAGAGTGGTAAATATTTATAACAGTTTGCCTGAACATGTGATGGAAGCAACATCTGTGTAGCAGTGCACAATGTTGTAAAATTTATATTTTACCACTATTCGATTCAGAGAACGATTGCACACTTACGATGACATATCAGATTAGTGAGTCCTGAAATATCGTAAGTCAGATATTTGAAATGTTACATGAGAACGACAACGATATTCACGGTTAACAACTTTTATAACGTTTTTCACCATATTTCGAAATAGTTGTACAGAATTCGTTTCTACTTGCTCTATACTAGAATATTCAGTATTCTAAGGTGGAGGTGAATAGTGGCTTTAGTGGAAATGAACCTCTGCACTATTGGGTTACAATAAACAGCAGACCGATGAACGTACACATATGAACGGGAAAGCTTGTTATTATAGACCAGACGGTCCCCTGGCTAAGATGGACAAAAATGCCCCTACAACAGGTAGCGAAGTAATGGAAATAAGAAGGTTGCCGTAGAGTATTCAAGGTAACACTGATAGTGGCCGTTGTTCTGGCTAATCATCCTGATTCTTTCGAACATATTGAAGATGCGCAAGGATTCTATCATATATCACTGCGTATATCGCAAATACTTAAGGAAGAACAGCATGTACCGCACAAAATGCACACTAGGATATTCGACGTAAATGACCTATTCGGCAATCAAGCAAGAAGTGACCAGAAGTCAGTTGCGATTCGAATGATCGATAGCGATAAGATGGCTCGTTGAAGATACTCAAATGTGACTTCTATGTAAACGAATTTTTAAAACGCAACTACTCTCCATTTCGGAAAACGGCACCAGCCGCTGATCAAGCAACAGAGGTTGATGCATAGAGCGATAGGCCAGAAGTCGGACGGAAGAAAAACTAGGACTATTAACAATGCATGGCAAATTGTCCGTACTGCCCATTTGAAAAAACAACAAGCATGGGGGGTATAGAACTCATAGAATGCATTTAAAATAGATAAGAAAAAGGTGGACTTTTGAAATGCAACGAAATCGCAAAAACAAGTACCATTCCATCATCACAAGGCGCCGCACTGTAACGTCACTTGATTGTCATTATTATGCACGCTAGGTTCTAATATTGCGAAAGCGAAATAAGAAACAGAAATTCTTAGAGAAAAGCAAACTTCTTAAATTGATGATTCAAGGTATATCGCAGTGTTGAGATATACAAGGCTCGTGACAACAATGAACAATGATATATAACGGATAAAAAAGCAGGTGCCTGACATGTCCTGTAGAGTGTTTAAAGTAAAAAAGATAGATCAAGGGATAATGGAGTAGTCAGTTCGGGCGATTACAGATTTAACTGCGTTGCCGTATAAGGGAGTTTGAAATGAGAATGTACGCACACAAAGCAATAAGGGGAGTGGTTATTGATCATATAATAGGCGAGGCAAAATAAAAATGATAGCAAGGACAACGCTTACTCGTGTGCAACTATCTTGGGTCGACAGGACACTGGAATCCAGTTTCCATAGTAGTAGCGTTTATCAACTTTCGTGCAAGGCGTTTGGAGTGACTCATTCTCGAGTAGGGTTATGGCACTACCCAGTGACTGTTGTGCATTAGTGCCAGCATCTGGTGGTCATGAACTATAGCACGTAGTGTAAATGTGACAGAGTATCGTCAAGGCGTTTTTGAAAAGGGATAGGGTGGGTGCATTAATTACATGTTCCGGGAGGGCTTTGCAAGGCTGACACTCGAAGGGAGAAATAGTTTCGCCGACATTCCAGGCGGCTGTACTGCGTGACCAGCTTAAACAGGTGACTTCTTAGCGGGGTGTTTTGACTGAGTATTAGGAGGGAATGGCATGGGTGGTTGGGGTTTCTCAGGATCAGGTACACCATTATGAGATCGCCCCTTAGACGCCGATAACGTCCACAGTATATTTTGAGGGTCTTCAGCCTGGCGCTCTTCGTTGCCCTACGTTGTGCAGTATCGAGCGCGGTGAGATGGTGCTTGAGCCAGGGTTGCCACGCTTGAATGGCGTATTGCGCGTGCGGCCTCACGTACCCACTAATCATTTCTGGAAAGACTGAAGGGTCAAACGTCCCGAAAGTTCTGCGAAGAAGGCCGTGGTACTGGTTTGCTTTCTTAGATGCCTTTTCAGTCTGCCTCAAACAACCGAGGTCATCTTGAACTATCACGCCTAGAGCGCACTCGTGAGAAGACCGCTGTAGAATTTGTGGTCCTAGGCGGTACTTGTGCATACTCTTGTGCCGTATGCTGAGAACTTTGCACTTGGTGACGTTGATATGTAGCATGTTCTCGATGGACCATGTGCACGCTTTGTCCAGGACCTCCTGTAACACTGTGTGATCCGCCACTGCAGCTTTAGTACACCATACCTTTAGATCAGCAGCAAATAGCAAACAGTTAGAAGATAGCACGCCCGCAAGCTCACTTATGAAAACCAGGAACAGACGGTGTTCAAGTACCGAGCCTTGAGGTACGTCACACTGAACTTCGATGGATTCCGACAGGTTGCTTCAAACCCTCACATTCAGGTGAGGTTGCACCAGAAAGTCTCCTATCCAGCCCAGAACAGATTCGCCGATTCCATATTTCTGGAGTTTGTGGAGGAGAATGCGATGGTCTATACGGTCGAATACCTTTGAGAAATCCAAATAGGTCACGTCGACTCCTACATCAGCGTCCACAGATTCCGTCCAGCGTACATGAGCAATCAACAGTCTAGTGGTACAGGAGCGATTTTGGCGAAATCCGTGCTGCTCCGAAACGAGAATTTTGTTGTTCTACAGGTACCCCATCAAAGCCTCAGCTACAATGGACTCCATAACCTTGGAGATCACAGGAACTAGTGTTATCGGGCGATAAGTTGCTGGTTCAGCAAGACTGCCACTTTTGTAGATTGGCGTGATGATTCCGTGCTACTACATCGTGGGGACGTGTATCTCGTTCAGACATCGTTGAAAGAAAATTGCTAGTGACCCTGCCGAACTCATGGCAGCAACTTTCAACGGCTTCGGACGAATGCCGTCCGCACCTGGGGAGCTGAACTCGCGCTGAGACATCAGCCTTTTCAGTACAGCTGCGGAGATGAACGATATGTGATTAAGCCATGATGGTGGCGTTATCTGCTTAGACAGGATGTATGATGATTGCACGCTTTGGAAGGTACGGCCAAATTGTTGTCCAAGAACGTTGGCTGCCTGTTGTGCGGTTTGGGCTAACCCGCATGCTGTGTGCAGAGCAGGAATACTGCGCTTAATACGGCGCAAATTGTGTACGTGTCTGCATAGCAGTTTGGGATTGGAGCAAAACTTTTCCACTAGACCTTGTTGGTTCTGCAGTTTATCCTCCCGGACGAGTTTGACACAGTGGTTTCTTTGTATTGTGTAGACATCCCAGGTGTGTCATGCCAAGTCCCTTAATGCCATGCATTTACGTGTCCTGCTCCTTACGAAAGACTTCATCCTTTTTAGGCCGGCAGAGTTTGGTTTCAGATGTCCTTGCCACGAGCTTGGTGAATATGTTGACGAATTCTCCGCAGGCCACCTCAGGGGTTGATTCGGCTAAGAACAACCAGCTTGTTGCATCAATGAGGTCGGACAGGTCGTCATAGTTGGTTACGACATGATATT